TTTAGTAGAAAATCAGCAGTTTATTTTTTAAAGTCTAAAACAGAAGTTTACGAAAAATTTATGGAATATAAAGCTGCCGTAGAAAAAGAAACTGGAAACAACATTAAATGCCTAAGAACCGATAATGGAACCGAATATAAGAACAAACCTTTACAAGAGTATCTTAAAAGACATGGTGTAAAGCACAAGATGACAGTTCCGTACAGTCCCCAACAAAATGGTGTGGCCGAAAGGTTAAACAGAACCTTAGTTGAGTATACCTGTAGTATGTTAATAAACTCAAACCTTGGTAAAGAGTTTTGGGCTGAAGCTGTAAATACTGCTACTTATCTTAAAAACCGTGCTCCAACTAAAGCTCTCGACAGAATGACCCCTGAAGAAGCCTGGTCTGGAATAAAACCAGATTTATCTCATCTACATGTTTTTGGATGTAAAGCAATTATTCATATTCCAAAAGAAAAAAGACAAAAACTAGATCCAAAAGATGAAGAATATATTTTTGTAGGGTACAGTGAAAATGTTAAAGGTTTTCGCTTTATCCATTCTCAAACAAAGAAATTAATACTAGCAAGAGATGCTGTCTTTATAGAATCGGACATATAACTCTGAATTACCCAATAATTTTTCACAAAACAATATTCAACAGCAGTTCCTGTTGAAGAGGGGGACTCTACATGTGAAAATAATTTGAGTAACTGTGAATCAGAGACAGAACCCGAAACCGAGACAGAAAAAGAAAAAATATCTGAGACAGAAAACCCCGAGGAATCTGAAATTAAAAACGTAAGATCTACAAGAGTAAGAGTTCCTAATAAAAGAATATTTAATGAAGACTATATATATCAAGTTATGACCGAATCTTCAAGTGATCCTAAATCGATTCAAGAAGCCTTGTCCAGTGAAAACTCTACATATTGGGTGGAAGCGATGGAAGAAGAATTAAGAGCTCAGAAGAAAAATAATACTTGGACTAATTGTGCACTCCCACCACATAAAAAACCAGTAAAGAGTAAATGGGTTTTCAAGACAAAGCTAACTGCAACTGGAGAAATAGAGCGATACAAAGCACGTCTTGTTGCAAAAGCGTACTCGCAGACACAGGGTATCGACTATGAAGAAACATATTCCCCAGTTGTCACATACAGTTCAATTAGACTGTTATTAGCCTTGTCTGCAAAATTTGGTTGGCAAGTTGACCAAATGGACGTTGTTACTGCTTTTCTTCACCCAAAATTAAAAGAAGAAATTTATATGGAACTGCCTGATGGTCAAATATGCAATCTAAATAAAGCTTTATATGGACTCAAACAAGCAAACAGAGCATGGAATCAAGAATTAGACTCTGCCCTGAAAGATATAAACTTTCAAAAATCTAAGTATGACCCCTGTATATATTTTAATTGTACAGATGGAAAGCTCATCATTTTAGCAGTTTTTGTAGATGATATCATTATATTCTCAGACGATGATAAGCAAAAAATGTATTTGAAAGAAGAACTATCGAAGAGGTTCCAGATGAAGGACCCAGGTGAAATACATTATTGTCTAGGAATTAGAATACATAGGGATCTTGAAGCTGGTACCATTACTATAGACCAAGAAAAATGCATTGAAGAAATACTAGCCAGGTTTGGAATGACTAATTGCCATGGAATAAACTCCCCCATGAATTACAATCAAAAGCTGACTAAAGAAATGATGCCACAAACTGCTGCAGAACGTGAAACAATGGCAAGTTTTCCTTATCAGGAAGCTATAGGAAGCCTTATGTATGCAGCACAGTGCACACGTCCTGATATTTGTTTCGCCGTGGGAAAGCTGGCCAGATTTAGCCAGAATCCTGGTAAAGAACATTGGCAAGGAGTCAAAAGAGTATTCCGATACCTAAGAAAAACATCCAATTACAAGTTATTGTACAAAAAAAAATGATGATGTTTTGCATGGGTATAGCGACTCTGATTGGGCAGGTGATTTAGAAGACAGAAAATCAACAGCAAGTTATGTATTTGTCCTCAGTACAGGAGCTATAAGCTAGATGTCAAAAAAGCAGTCTACAGTTGCGTTATCCACTACTGAAGCTGAGTACATGAGCCTTACAAATGCAACCCAAGAGGCTATATTCCTAAAGAGTTTATTGGGCGAAATAATTGGACAATTTCAAAGCAATATTGTTATTTACTGTGACAATAAAGGTGCTGTGGACCTCGCAAAAAGTGAATGTTTTAGGCCAAGAACAAAGCTCATAGACATCAAGTATCATTTTGTAAGATAAAAATGTCTAAACAGTGAAGTCCAATTCCATTCAGTCAAAACAGATGAAATGGCCGCCGACATGCTAACCAAATCTTTGACGCCTGACAAATTGAAAAAAAATATTCAGTTGATACCCAGACAGCACACTACATCTTAAAGACGTCTGTTTTATGTCGTAGTTATGACTGAACGCCTAAAGACCTAAAAAAGACGTTGTAAAGACGTCTTTATAAAGACGTCTTTTAGGACACATAAACAGACGTCTTAAAGACGTCTTTTGAATGCCTATTTAAAAAATATAAAAAATAATGGTAACTTTAAAAAAGTACTGGCTTACTTGTCGTTTCTAATTTCACAAATAAATTTATTTTTAAATTTTTTTTATTAGTTTACATAAGTAACTTATTTTTTTTTTATTTATTCACGAACATTTGTTCATTAGAGCAAGTAAATATTTGATAACATAAAAATAATAATAATAATAAATATAACTCTAAATAAAATTAACAATTAAAACATAAGACAAATTGAATTACGCGCTCTTTCACCTTGACCGGAACATGGTTCAACGATCGAAGCGAATGTTTTTATTATGCTTTGTCTTTTTTCAACAGTAGAATTTAAACAAGGACGTGTATCTGAATGTGAGTATTATTGGGGTTCCGTGGTTCGTGGCGATCTGAGTTGTCAGTTGTCCTTTCGTTGTCATTTGTCGTTGATGTTGAAAATGAACGCCGAGAGGTTAGTTTTTGTTGGTTATTCGTTGATTTTTTATTTGTGTCTTGTGCCGTGGATTACTGTGAATTTATAAGCATAAAAGTTTACTGGATATACTGAAAAACCAAATAGAAGAACCCTTATTAGTGTTTTAAGTACGTCTAGGCGTCTAGAGCTGACTTAGAAGCTTCATCGGATGTAAATATATCTGAATTAAGAGTTGAACGTACAGGAAGATTGCCATTATTTGACCACCCTTAACCCACACTATCTACTGAAAATCCTATTAAAGCGAATTTGACAGAGTGAGCTATAATGCATAATATTTTACACAGTGCAGTTAAAATTATTGCAACCCAGACTGGCTCAGAAGAGCATCCGACAGAAGATTAACCACTAACGGAGGAAGAATCCAAAAAAAAATTATTTGTAATATTACTTTTTTTAACGAAATGTTTCAGTGTTTTGTAAATAATAATGTTTATAGAAAATATGTGTTTTATTTTGTATAGAAGAAATTTACAGAAGCTTTTAAAACTAAATCCCAGAGTACGTCTTACCAATGTCGAAAACCAGACATATTCAAGATGTCTTAAGAACGTTACCTTTTGTAACATCAGACGTCTTAAAGATGTCTTTAAGACCTCTGGCCGGCGTCATAAGACGTCTTTTAGACGTCTGTTATGTCTCTGACAGACGTCTTATGGACGTCTTAAAGATGTCTTTGTGCTGTCTGGGTAGGACATATCACATCAAGAGGGGGTGTTAGAATATGTTCTGTGATACTTATAAGTCTGTTTATTTTTGTAGTTAGAGTTATGTATGGTGTTAATTATATTATATAGTGTGACAAATAGAAAAATAAAAAGGGTTGTCAAAAGTTGATCTTGATCTTTATTTAAAACATTTACAACGTATCTCTACCGATCTACGCATACCACTGCTGCAGTACTCACCAACAGGAAGCCAAAATTATTTTGACTGCCTCTGTTCCCATTAGGTTCCTTGGCATGGATATTTTTACTTTATCTGTCAATTCATGCTGTCCAGTCGCTATCAAGTAGTTGTCGAATGATTGTTTTCAGAACATCAATTCGCTGGCTGCATTTTGACTCTGTAGGTGAAAGTCGGGAGGTAATTTGACTGCTTCTGCCCCGATGTTTTCCATTTCACCTGTTCTAACCTCTAAATTTAGGTTATATTTGTGGATTTTTTCTATCTTACTTTTCTACCCTTAATATTTAATCTGCAGGCTACTGCGCCATGTTTTAATATTATTATAAGTATTTTTGGGGGGTATTTAGTAAGGGTGCTTTGTATTTATTACAGATACTTTTATTATAAAAATAATATTACATTTTGAGCGATGTTGACATCAAAAAAATTATTGTTGACAATTGACATGAAGTATGACATTACAGGGTTATAAGTACGTTCGACATCAAGCAGGCATATTCCAATCTAGATCTAACAAAACAAAGGTAAAAAAGTTTTAAAATTTCTAAGCTATTGAACTCTTTGCCATTTCTTATAACAAAACCAAGCATTTTGCTACGAGGCGATATAATTTTGTCTACATGTTAATTTTGAGTCAAATATCACACCACGAGCATTATTACAATCAGTTCTATTAATTATGGTACCATCTAAACTGTAGTCGAATACTATTGGGCTTATTTTTCGGCTAAATGTCATAGTATTACACTTAGATGGATTCAAAGACAAAGTGTTTGATTCACACCACTCATCAACTCTTTCTTAAGATTTCTGGAGTTCTCTGCAATCATCAATTGAACGTATCTCAGCATATATTTTTAGATCATCAGCATATAGTAGGTACTGAGCATTATTTGATAGAAATAGGATAGGTATAGGATTCAAGGATCGTATTCATTTGTAATAAAACAATCATTATAAGTTTTTTCATTTATTTTTGTGAAACAGCAATATGTGAATTTATATTACATTCATATAATATTTTCTTAAACTTACTATTTATATATTAACGAATTAAAGAAAATTGAGGCACCTGTTTTAGCGGGGTATCACTTTAAAATACACTCGTTGCTTTGCGGTGCGTTTGTAATTAGATTAGTAAGTACCGTGGTTTTTTTTTTGTGAAAAAAATTAAACAATAGATATGCACAGTACGTCCACGTTTTTTATTATTTCAAACAAACAACAACCGTACTTAATTAGGTCGTTAAATAATGGATTATCACAAAAGTATGAACGTTTCTTTGCAGATGAATTAAATTCCCTCAACTTCCTTTTATAATGCGTCTAAACATTTTATCTTTATTCGGTAGATTGAAATTCAAGTCATTCTATTAGGTATCTCATATTATCCAAGACGAAAATTCCACAAACAAACAAAATGCTCAAAAGGCAAGCAAATGAACCGAAAAGAAGAGATAATACTAAATAGATGGTTAATAAGACAATAACAGATATAATAGTTGATAATAAAAGACTCAAACTACAGAAATGCTGGAAAATAATATGAACAAGTCAAAAAATAGAAGATACTTATAACGATAGAGAAATTACAATTTGACTAAACAGTCATCTATACTGACACCACAATTAATTATAGTCCTCTGAAAATGATAAGCATACTTATATATTCTTTCCAGTACATTTTCGGAACTAATTGATTTAGAGAAAGCGTATAACAGTGTGCGAACCAATCAGATCTGAGAAGAATGTAATCAAGAAACTGGAAATGTTACAAGAAGAACTTGAAGAAAGTAAACCTTTTAAAACAATAATAAAACAATAAAATATTATTATTGAAGATTTACTGATATCAAATAAGAAAAATATATAGAGGAATTTGAATAAGTTTGACTGAAGATCAATTCTTGGAAATTTTATTTTGATGTTGCTTTATCTAGTCTTTATTTTCAGTTGATATAAAAATTAAAAAACAAGTATCCAACGCACAAATAATATATTGTACGAAGAATATTCCTTATTGAATAGATATTAGAATCTTAAGACACATTATAGAAGAAAATTGTATACCACATCTTAACCCAAAAAACTAAGAACACATTATATTTGTTTCCTAAATACAATATTTCTGATAACCCACAAAATATGGTATAATTTTACAAATTGACTTATAGCGCATATAAAAATTATAATTGACTACATTTTCAACACGTCGTATTGTCTAAAATTTAATCTAGTATAAATAAAAATTTACAATCTAAACAAAAAGAAAAACAAAATTTTTGTCCAGAATTCGCCCATAAGATGATCATTTTCCGAAATCATAACATTTCTTTTGTTGTATAAATAAATTATATAAATCACAACTTTTCTTTTTCTTTCCATATACCAAACAGTTTACACCATAGAAATACCTCTTTTATTAACTCCTTCATGACCTTTCCACAAGCTCTTGTGTTTGTTCTAAAGGAAAACACCTTAAGCCATGGGCGCAACCTCCTGGAGAGACAAAATATGTATGATACAAATGACCTAAATGGCAAGTATCCAAGTGGGGATCACCAACCAGTGACGAGAGAGGCGACTACATTACAGAAGGAATGGCACGAGCCAAAAACCCACTTTCCTTAGTGGAAGCCAGAAGACATTCATCAACGTAACGATATCAACGATAACGATAGGCGGAAAAATAAAAAACTGGAAAATACTGGAAGCTGAAAGCGTAAGCGATCATCAGTATATCTGTTTTGACATTTAGGAAAAAGTCACACCAGTGAGGGTTCGTTTAGTGAAAACAGTGGATTGGGAGGTATTAGAACCTCCATGGAATTAAGAATGACAGCAGCTATTAGAACTCCGGAGGACTGCATAAGTTTTATTAAAGGACAACGTAATCAGACAGAGATCCAGCCAGCCATTTTGGTGGAACAGCAACACTGAACCAAGCGAAAGAAAATTACGATGCTAAGGACCATACAAAAAAGTATTAAAGAATACACTGAGCATGTACGGCTACAGGTAAGGAACAGTTACAAGAAGTCCAAAAAAGAGCTGAAGAATTGATAATTAGAGAGAAGAAGGATCATATGAAATGAGTTTATAGCAGCTGGAAAATGTGGCGAAACTAGCGCTGAAGCGCATCACCAGCTGGTTAAAGAGCCACGAGCTAGAGCTAGCCCTAGAAAAGACAGAGGTTATAATCCTTAAAGGTCCCTGAACAAAATCAGACAGGGAAAGCCGCGATTCTTTTTAAAAGTATTTCAATTGAAGCCTCAAAAAGAGGAAAAGTACCTGTGGTTTGTCCTAGACGATACAGGCAGCTTCGGCAAACAAATCAAAATGGCCGCAAACAAAGCAGAGGCAAGAGCGGCATCTTTCTTCAGGATACTGAGAAATATTAGAGGCCCTCAAAGTAGGAAACGGAAGCTGCTGAACAGAGTGGTACACTCCTTATTACTGTATGGATTACCCCCATATGGGGACAAGGAATAAATGTAGCAAACATAGCGGAAAAGGTCCAACGGAAGATCGCGTTGAGAGTCGCCAGCACCTAACGAATTAATTCATTAAAAGCAATTCAAGTCATCACAGGTTCGATATGATCTACCTGCGGGCATCCAAAAGACAAAGAGTCTACAGAATTCTCAACGGTAGATGACCTTTTAGCATTCCGAAGAAAGAATGTCTCAAAAAGACAACGCCGGGATGCTGAGGTTGAAGAGGAAGGGTTTTGATGGATAGGCTGGCACTGCACTATAAAAGCCGGAGTTTTACACTCCCAGGCGCGATTGAACCAAGCACCAGGGGTCCACGAGGATTTACTCTCCACAAAAACAAAAGATATACATGAATTCTCAACAATCTTCCAAAGAAATGCCCGTTTATGATATATAGGAGATACTAACTCTTTAAAAATATTGATAGCATTAAAATAAAAATAAAAACAGAAGAAATACTGAAATTTGGTATGCTAAAAGACTTTCAGTCTTTCGACAAAGAACATAAAATACCTAGAATAGTAAGACAAAGTTGAAGAGCTAGAGCAGTCAATGGAAGTGTTATCATAGTTCTAGTAATGAAATGGCAACTACGGTAGTCACTGTTAACTATACAATCTGCAAATAAGAAAGTGACAAGAGTTAGAAGAAGAATCAAGGCAGATAATTTGAGTCAGCTGTACCTAAGGAAAATGAGGATACCACAAAAAGTATTATAACCTGGTAGACATGAAGAAATAAGAAGAGGATGTCTATAAAATCCCAGGATAGATATTTAAAAAAAATCTGACATTAAATCGATTAAAGTAACAATGTGCAATTAAAAAAGAATCATCTGATTTTGTCGTTTCTCTTTTAGATGTTAAATAGGAACATGACTTCGGGTTTCAAAACATGAAACGAAGGACCTACAGCTTCAGTAACAGTTGTCTTTGAATTAGAATCTGGTACAGATAAGTATGTGGTGTAAATAGTTTGGCACTGCAGTATAATATGCTTATATTTACCAATAAAAATATTAAATTATTTTTTCCTGTAAATGTATTCGGATAAACAAATAATCAGTAACGGTGCTCAGTTTTTACTATTCTCTCGCTTCTCGTGTTCATTGAAGTTTCTAACTTTTTAGTCACACGCTGCAGCGAGATAACTGAGGCACTGTTGTCAATATATCCCCCTTTACATTTTAACCTCATGCCAGACAAAAAAAGTAGGTACTCTATATAGATTAATGTTGTTATGATTTGGGAAAACAAAAATAATGAAAAACCGGCCACCTTTTAACAATGAAACATTGTTCTACATTGCCTTTCTTTTTACACATCAATAGGTACGTATTTATTAGAAGTAAGTAACTTAAATAGATAATTTAATCCTTATTACCAGGGAGAAAACCAAATAGTAAAAATTACGAAAATACGCAAAAAATATCGATGAATTTAGTTTTTCAGTCGTTTTTTAGCCATAGTTTACATTCTGTAAAATCAATTTTTTTAATTACTTTTTAAGCGGAAATTCATTTTTAAACTTAATGAGCGGAAAGTCCTTTTAGAAAACTAAGTAATTAGAAATTGTTGTTCATAAGTTTGGTTATTAAATTATCACCATCATTATCCTGACAAATTTGTATTCATATATTGATAGATTATATAAGTAATTAGAAATTGTTGTTCATAAGTTTGGTTATTAAATTATCACCATCATTAACCTGACAAATTTGTATTCATATATTGATAGATTATAGCAGAAAATATTTAACACTTCAAGTTATTAACTAAAATAATTTACTGCTCAGAATATTAGTTTTTACTTATAAGCTCACAAAAAGTATATTTTCCGCTCACAAAGTTATTTTCCGCTAACAAAGATATTGACGAAATATTTTACCGCTCACAAAGTTATTGACGAAATATTTTTGCTCGAAATACTTCACTCAAAAATTTGTTTAAAAGTGAATTTTGGTTTCGTTTGTGGCGTCAATTTGTCAGTTTAATTTCGTCCTCTGGATCAGCAAATATCGACGCCTACTGCCATCTACCATAAGAATTAATTTAATTAAACTAAAAAGCAGTCAGATACCAGTAGCCGCCTACATATCTAACAATACATCAAACACTTTACAAATATTACAGTAAAAAAATATTCTAAAATTTACGATGAAAAAAGGGCGCCCAAAAACACTGGGCAAACAATTATATGACCAGTACCAAGTGACGAGAATGAAAAAAATGATTATTATGTATAATATAATATTTATAAAAATCAAAAATAATTCAACAAAAGGTACGCAAAGCACCTAAAACTATCACTAGACTATTTACAAAAAAATATATATTAATTAATTATATTGGAGTTCAAATATATATTTCTAGCTTAAATTAAAAAAATATAACTCTATTTTCGTTATTAACAACTTCAATAATATTTATACATTCACTTTTATAAAATTCGATCAAGGTAACGCACCAAATCTGATTTCCTTTTTACAGAAAGCGATCAAATATGTAATTTTAATGTTTTTAAATAGGTACCTTTCTATCTGTCTACTACTAAAACATTCTAAAATTTGATATTTCCAGAAATATATTTAACACTTTAAGCGCCGTGAGGTATAATGCGCGTGTCGCATCTCATTGGGCATTTTGGGCCGCTGTCTACAGTTATATATGGCAATATTAACAGTTTGGCCCAGTGGACTGGATTTTCAGATTCTCCTGTGGCACTTAGAGAACTATTTCCCTCCACTGATCAAAGAAGACCTAGATTGACAGAGATATCAAGAACCAAATATCACCTTTTACAATAGAAGCACTTATGCAAAGCAGTTGAAACTATAGAAATATAAAAACAATGGACCTGAAAAAATACCACCACAGGCGATAAAAATAATAGAAAAAGTCATGCCTAAGGCAATGCTGGACACCTTAAATAGGCTTATAGAACAGCAACACTTCCCAGGTATTTGGAAAGAGTCGCTAGGCGTTGATATTGAAGAAAAAATAAAGCAAATTGCTTCTTCATATAGACCAATATGCTTGATAAACACTTTCGGAAAACTATATGAAAGATGCTGAAGAATAGACTGGAACAAGAGATTGAAACCAATAATGGATTCGCAGATGCGCAGTAAGGTTTTAGGAAAGGCAGATCGACAACACAAGCGATAAACAGGGTTGTAAACAAAGGGAAAGAAAGTAATAAGAGAAGGGTTGTTCTGATTACCATAGACATCAAAGATAAACCAGAGGAAAGGAACATATCTCGTTATTTGGTAAACATAATAGATAAATACCTTGGTTACAGAAATATAAAGGTAGGAAAACACACTCTTTGAACATCCATTGGGGTATATCAAGGATCGAGATCTAGGCTTGGTCCTATGGAACCTACTGTACGATGATGTTCTAAGAATAAAGCTGAGTAGAAGAAGTAGTAGAAGCAAATGACGTGGAAGAACTAAAGCTTAATGCAAACAAATCATTGGATCATATTGTAAGTTGGATGGTGAAGTAGGGGTTAGAGATGGCGCCAAAAAAAAAACAAGCGTCATACTGAGAGGACATAGGAGAAGAATAGCGGTAAACAGAAGAATTATGAATAGCGAAATAAGACATAGCAAACAAGTTAAGTACATAGGTGTCATTTCAGACTACAAACTCTCAGACGGAAGGATAGATATCTAGAAATGGTGCAGAGGAAAGGAAGTATACTCTTGAAAAATGGCAGGACATGTGGATGCAACATGGATATACGACAGCTTGGACGAAGCAACTAATTAGGGATGTCAAAGAGTGGAACAAATGTAAATATTAGAGAACAAAATTCCTATTAGAACATGGCCGATTTTAAACGTATACGAGAAAAATGAAACTTACGGACACACCAGAGTGTAAATACTGTCAAAACGAGAACTCTTCTGAGCACACAAGACTGTCATGTCCAAGATGGATAATATAAACAATGCAGTTAGCAAATATATTAAACTTAAACCTGGACAAGGACAATAATATAAGAGAAACGATGGAAGCTGAATAAAAGTGAGTGTTGATCCATAACTATATAAAGAATACCATGAAATAAAAATAGAAGATCCACAGGTAGTTAATAACCAATAGAATCTTGCAGATAGATGAAAAGAGAAATGAAGAGAAAAGAACGACCGTGGCAGGTACTGATGAATACCTAACAGGTGATCCCAGTGTCTACCAGATAAAACAAGATGGTTTTTAGTCAGTAAAAATCTGACGCTGTCAGATCAAACACGAGCCCTTTATTCTCACACAAAAAAAAACTGTGGCGCTTAACCCAATTTCTCAAGAATATTTATGAATTAACAATGTGTAATGGAATGAAGCAAGGAGCATTCTAAAGGGTAAAGTCATCCAACCAATAGTATTAAAGCAACAACTTTTTTGATGTTTTAGTAGAAATTTCTCAGTTTTAGAGCATTCTAATAAAATATTTATAAGCTCTTCTAACAGCATTAATATATTAAAATAAGTTATATTTGTTGAGCATTCTAAATTGAAATTTTTTAATGCTCAAAGTGCTGTCCACGTTACCGATCAAATTTTAATCAAAATTCTGACTCAGAATGTTCGAGCAATTATTGAAATTGCTAATAATTCTACGTTTAATAGTAAAAATATGTAAAAGTATCCCTATATACAACTCTTAAAAAATCTTCATAGTAAAAACAAACAAGACTAGTTGTGCTACATGTGCTTACAATTAAAAACAAATAAATATTTGAACTCCGATAAGGTCGACGGTATTTTTGACAAATCTTCCGAGATGCTGCTTCAAAATTGTTATAATTACTCTTATTTTACACTATGTATATATTCAATCTGGCCTTACATATTACAAATTTAAAAAAATTTACTAGTAACCGAACAACATTTTTCTTTCAAATTCTTCTTTAATATATTTTTTTTTCAGGGAATCTTGAGCTGCCAACCCGTACCGCTTTAAGATATTTAACTTAACCTTCTAACAATTGGCATCTATGAACTTAAAACTGTAAGGTTATAATGGCACCAGAAATGAGAAACTAACGTGAAGATTTGGTAACTAATCAAAAAACTTACTTTGCTTACGATATTCGACATTAATGACATTTGACATTATTGACAATTAATATTTGACAATTGACGTTAACATCATTTGCAATTTCTGTACAGAAATATCTCCAAATATACACAGCGTGTTTCGAAATTCGCAAGTGCGCTATTGGAATTCGTTAATTCACATCAAAAGTAATTTTTTCAATGAATTACCAAATCGAAGTACTAAGTTTTGTTTATTCTCGTAATATTAAAACACATAAAAAGCATATTCATTTCTGTACAAACAATTATTAATGAGCATAACACGAGATCATTTATAACAAGATTACACTGTCAACGGTTGCACAACAGATAGACCAGCGGCGTAGAATCAATCTACTTTTGACTTGATTCCATGGTTGCAGAATTTCACTTCCTGGAACAAAAAGAGAAAACGAGTTAAAACATTTTTTCTACAATTTAAAAAAAAATTACGTTTTTTAAATATACGTGATCCACAAAAAAATGTTTCCAAATTGAAAAAAAAAACCTTGTATGGCGAAGAATATTTTTTTTTCCTTTTTAATGACAAATTCGTATTTCTGCGCCTTTATCGCTCATGGCCCATTTTATACATAGAAATAATATAGAAGACCAATATAAACATAACATTTAAGCAGAAATTGAAACTTACTGTGCATAAAAACGCGTCTCTGCGCCTGACATCGCAAAATAGTGTGTCTAGAAGCTTGCGCAATATGCATGACTTGTCCCTGTAGTGTTGCCAAATATATTAAACATACCCAACAGAAAATAATTTTAAATTAATTAATTTTTAAATTATATGATTTAAACAGTTTATATCTACGAAATATCGCCACAAAATAACTTATACACATTTAAATAATCAACTAATAATATTTATGTGTAATTACATTCCCAAAAATATATACAAATACCGTATTAATGTCATTAATACCGTATTTTTAATGTTCAATAAGCAATTCACCTACACATTCAATATTGACCTGGCAATAGCACTAAAATCCGGTGTTTCAAGGGTTTCAAGGCTATATGATGCTGCCCTTACAGGACCGTTTGTAGTTTATTGTTTATGCCGCGTTTGAGAATCCACATCGGATGCATCTGAGATGTAGTAAGTAGTAAATCTTTGATCACGTGATTCAGTATACGTAAATGTAATGGGACAGATGTGTCCGATGTGGATAAAAACGCTCGAGATGTAAAAAATGCATCCGATGTGGATTCTCAAACGCGGCATTAATTACACGATGAAAGTGGCATTTTATTTTTAGTTTTGTGTAGTGTTTAGTCAAATCCTAGGTACAATAAAAGACATTTTTACATTGGCTAATGAAAATGTAATCAATGTATTAGGCAGCTGTTATATTTATTACAAGATTTATGTCTGCAAATCTAAACCTACCTAAGAATTATAATTATGTAAATAGAGAGCTGTATATTTATATACAGGCTGCCCAGCGACGGGGAGACATTATCGATATCGGTTTTAAGGCATTTTAAAACATAAACCCGATCTCAACAATCTTAGGAACTCTTCTGTCACTCGATATTTTAATCGGTACTTCCTCTTCGCTTTTTGGCTGGCACAACAATTATTTACATTTCTTCATTCCTTACCGTGTTCGAACCAGTAAGGTTTAAAGAAATTTAAAAAAAAAACCTACTTTAAAAATAAAGATGTTAATGATTTTGTTATGGATCCCATCTTCAGATCTTGACTTAATGTATATAAAACTGTTTCCTTTTCTAACAAAAATAATCCTAGAAATCGGGCAACGTGGTAAAGAATTATCGCTCAACATACATAAAAAAATATTTCAACGAATTGAGAATATCCTACCATTTTGAAGTATGTTAAAAAAAAATTGTTAATAAAGTGAAAAGTAGGGCATGAACATATATTATAAAGTATATAAAATGATAGATAAATCCAGTTTAGAAGGTATTATAAATAAACTGTGGAAATACCGAGAATCTCGATTTTGAATCGGAAAAATATTCTACGCAATTTAGTATGAAAGCTGATCAAAATGAAACACATGAACGACAAACTGTTATTGACAACTTTCTTCAAACGTTTTCTATTTTTCCGAAAACTAACTAGATAGTTCGAAAATCATTTCCTTCGTTAAAACGCCTCTTGTTCCGAAAAAGGTACACGCCTGCCAACATTCATCGTTCATTAAAAAAGTGGTAGATACAAACGTTCATTAAAAAAGTGGTAGATACAAAACGCTTCGTATTGTAAGGGCAAAATATATTTAGAAATCGAAATAGTCATATAAACAAAAAAATCATATGAGTGAGATAACTACCAAATTAATGATTTACAAGTTTATTCCTATTATTTATAAAATAGGTTTGCAATGTGCTGGTGTGTAATGTTATCATCGACTAAAAACTTTAAATCTTTGTATTAAATTGATCGAAAACAAACTATAAATTGGTTTAGGCTATATAGAATGTTTCTAGTAAGCAGCAACTAATTTTTATTATGGAACCGAAAAACCCTTTTAAAAAGGTTCAAAATTAAAATAAAATATTTACCAAGTAAATGTAGTAGTATTTTTTAATTTTTTAATTTATATTGAAAATGGTAACATGAAAGGTTTTCTGTCTAACGACTCATAGTCTCGGCTGACAAAATGTAAAAAAATATCGAACATAATATTCCTGGGCCCTATCTTGCACTCCCCAGATTAAATTTAGTTGTAGCAAATGATATTATCAAATAAGATGTCAAATCACAAGCAAAATCTCGTGACTACAGTACTAATGATTGCCTGTTTGGAAAAGTATCTTTGTTTGTAAATATTTATATGCATAGTTATATTTAAATGCGCGAGTGTAATGTTAAGTATAAACAAAATCCGCCCATTATGTATATACGTTTAGTTACCGACCCTAGTAGATAGGCAATTTGTTATTGTTTTAAGTTTTACCGTAGGGAGAGAGAAAATCAATATTAGGATAAATGGTCCAGCTCCTTTCTGGTTACGTAGGTACCTAAAAAGTATTTTAGTTTTTGGTTAAGTAATTAATTATTGTAACAGTGATTTTCTTGTGATAGTACCTAATTTAGATTGTGGATTAAAGTTTTTGTATATAATTTCGCTGTTTAATAATAAACGTAGTCAAAACCGGAGCACGTGGTTTTTCTGGAAAGTATTTTTAAAATCACAAGCAAAATCTCATGACTACTGTACTAATGATTGCCGAAAATTAACTAATTCATATTTTATGTCATATCTTTCTTAATAAGGACTGTCAGAACCATATTTACCTTAACTTGAAATTTTTTTATTCGTTTTTTGTATATAATCATCTCTAAAAATGTATGATTGAAATATCGTGCGAACTATTTGTTCGATCAATAAAAAACTTGCACCGGTCCTGTTCGCGCCAGCACCGTTATACGCATGAGCTCCGACACACTATTTTCTCCTTATGGTTTTATTTTTGATATATGGAATCGGCTTTCTATACTATTTCTATGATTTTATAATAGTTTTTTGTGGATCAGTCTGTGAAAACCATACTTTTTAAATATTTGATATTTAATATTTGGATATTTCATGTTAGGGTGGCGTCTATTAATTACGTGAGGTTTTTAAGGGGGGGGGGGGGATCAAGCTAAATGATTCGAAATCTCACTTGAGGGAGAGGGGGTCTTTGTAAATCTGACGTTATTTTTTTCTAGTAGAAAACGATATAAAATTACGTGAAAGTAAAATTAAATTAAAGTAAAGAATGTTTCTAGAAATTTTATATTATGGCAATATTCTCAAATACTAGTCTTTGCTAGTCTTAAATAAAAGTAATAGAACATATTGTGTTTTTTTAATAATCCAACGCATTTACACTTAAAAATCTCACGTGAGATTAGGGGAGTGGGGAGGGAGTCAAGGAAATGTTTACGAAATCTCATCAGGGGAAGGAGGGGGGGGTAAAAAAATCCTCAGAAATACCTCACGTAATTAAAGGACGCACCCTTACACTACTTTGTGTTGTCAGATAAACATCTGATACAGAAACGCTTGCTTTGTGGTCTAGGAATTATTAAATAAGGAAATGTACCTCCATTTCTTAATCAACAATTTTTGAGAAGATATAGTTTTGTATTATTACAGTACAAAAAAATGTATTTGTTGAACAAGTGATACAAAGTACTTTTTTGACTATAGTTCTAATTGTTTTAGGTTTTAAGTAATGACGCTAAATATGTTTAGAATAGAAGAAATTCATTATAAAATAGATAAAAAAAGCAAGATAGACAGAAACTAGTCCAAAAACCTTATTATATTTCGAAAAACTGGTTAAATTACAGAAAACAAACGTTTTGAATTTCAAGTTTTAAGTAATGACGATAAATGGGTTTAAAATAACAGAAATTCATTATAAAAGAGATGAAAAGGCTAGGTAGACCAAAACTAGTACAAAAATGTTTTCTCTTTCGAAAAATCTCAAAAAGTGTTTATTTTACGAAAAAAAAAACGGTTTTAATTTGAAGTTTTAAGTAATGACGCTAAATGGGTTTAAAATAACAGAAATTCATTATAAAATAGATGATAATATAAATTTTGGCGAATAAATAAAAAATGTATACAACCTATTTTAAATTTTAGAAATAAAAATAAGTAGGTGACAATAATATAAATACAACATTAAAAAGTAACATTTTTATGTAGTTTGTTTGATGCGCGTTGCAGAAGAAGTTTTTCTAAAAAGTTTGCCAATGTCTATTAATGAGAAAAAAACGATTGTGACACGAGATCAAGCTGATTGTGCATTGTGGCACAATAAAAGACAAATACGAGTCACTGCTTTAAAAATTTGGAGAAATTTGTAAAAGAAGTAAACGCCTTCTTTAAAAAATCGCATAAAATTTTTTATTTTTTACTAAAGCCACCCGATATGGCATGGGCAATGAATCTAGAGCAAAATAAGAAGTTTTTTAATGCGAACTTTTTATTGATTTAAAAAAAAAAACAAAGCTCTATGATAGAGTTAAAATGTCCATATGGACATGGGCATCTTACACAATTCTATAGGGAGGGGCAAAATTAGAAAAAAAAATAGAATGTTTACTTGTTAGAAAATAAAGAAGGTGTGATATCAAAAAAAACACGAACAAGAAGACACAGCCATAAACAATAATAAAAAAAATAAAATATTTATACAAACACGAAAACATAAAAAACTCACTCAAACACGTCGACGGACACAAAGACTTTAGAAAAACGCAAATTTGAAAATTCTTCTTTCTCTACCAAAAATATCGATAACAGAAGACATAATTTCTTTTTTGTTTTTTGTACACTCATCATGTATAGCCCTGTCAGCCCAGTCGCCTATTTTCATTCATTGTAGACCGCAGCCATGTTCAGCTAT